GTGAACTATAGATCCTCCGGCAGGAATCGAACCTACGCTTTTGCGATGCCGGTGCAATGCTCTTGTCACTGAGGACGTACAGTTGACTCATTTTTCCATCAACTGTTCCCTGCTTGAATTTGAAGTGCGTATAATACCACTCGAAATTAAGACCCTTTAAAACCTCAAGAATATTCCGGCATCGTGTGAAGTGCCTAAAATCATCTGTTAATATTTAGTTAGAACTTCACTTTAGGAAGCTGATGAAGAAACCGCGGCAAAAATACAAGTTCTGGCGCTTGCCGAGGGCGCTCTGCCAAAACGCTTACGCATGGCCATGTTTACGCAAAGCACTGATAGACGTTCGCTATTGAACAGGTGCGAATTAGTGTGATAAATTAACAAATTGTTGCAGAGGTATAGCCTCTATTCCATCCGCAGGACCTGAGTTGTATTTTAGCAACATTCTCAGATTCATCTTAAAACTTGTGATTTTATAATCCTCTATATACTAGCCATCTGTAAATAGTTCAATTGAGACTAACAAGCATACTCCATAAGTAATTTATAATCATTATTGTTGGCATAGCATCATCCAACAGCAATGGCATTACTTGCGAGAATAATGTTCGTATTAAAGTAGTTATAGTTTTTAATGTCTAAAATATACAACACGCTTGGCATTTTTTCCCGAGAAACGTCCATTTCGCCATTCCTACTGTCCTGCGGTATTTCAAATGAAATTATGCAACAAAGTGAGTTTGTTCTGCGGTCTTCCCCATTTGTGTTTACAAAATGGCGGCGGCAAATACAAAATTTCTGCTGAACAAGTTGTAAACCAAGTTGTTTTAGGAGACAAGTGTCAACAAAAAGTTGAAAGTATTAGCGAGAATATTAAAGAGTGCTTGTCTCGATTGCTGCAGTGCTCTGACCGTGACCTTTTAGAGGAAGGGGCCAGAGTAATTCGGCCGATAGTGGAGCTTTGCCGTACGGCGGGTAGTCGCGATAGTAACCTTTTTGGCCCAGCAAAGATTCTTGCTAGGTCTTCCATAAATTCAGCCGTGGTTTTTCAGCATGTGTCTAGATTGTGGCTGGCAGCAATACGACGCAGGCTATGCAGCAGACGGAATGCGAGGAATCCTTTCACTTCGGAGATTTCGCCAGATATTCCATACGAGCTATTTGTTGTTTTAGAAAAATGGTAAAATCAATGCCCGTGTTTTGCGAACAGTTTTGTTATTTCGGAAGCATTACGAAAGGCGAAGTAATATATTTAACTAATCTGCGTTTGGTGATGGAATTACTAGCATTGCTCTCAGGGTATACGCAGGAGGAAGTGGCTATTCGTAACACATATTATGCTAATTGTGAACCTTGTATAGTGTTAACAATTAATGGCGAATATCATAACAATTTTATATAAAATTTACATTGTATATTCCCCAAGAAAATTATTACAGTTAATAGCAATCACAATAATAGCATATATGCTGCAATTTTGCAGGTAGGGATACTTCAAACTGAATGCATTTTAATATTTAACTTGAATGATACCCTGAGAGTAATGCATGTACCTAGGTTGTTTGACAATGTGAATGCATATCTTAATATCTGGCCACATGATCCCTTCCAAGGTTAGAAATGCCATCTTGCAGGAGGTGCAAACACAATAGAAAGCTCAATGGTGACTGGCATGATTGATACTTGTCATGGCAGAGTAACTATCAGTCACTTATGTCCCTATTGAATTTTCTATTGGCTTTGCATGCCCTAAAAGGTGGTACCTCTAAACTTGGAAGGGTCTATTCATGTGGCTTCTGCCACATCAGATAATGTTAATTGATAAGGGCATTGATTTCATCACCATTGATTTCTCAGTCAAAACAATAATTGGCTTAATTGTAGGGAATATCTTCCATTATCTCCAAAGAGGGAATTTCTAGGCTTCCAGCAATGCAAATGTCTCCTGTTACATACAAAACCTAGCATGTGTTAAGGAAAACTGTTTGGCAAGCAAAATTGCATATCAGGAGTGTCATACAAAGTTCATTAACAGCATTGCATACTATCTGTTAAACTGCATGGACCCTGATTTGTTTGTTTCCTGGCAGCAGGCTGAGTCTGGCATATTAATATACCAACTTTTACAAAAAATTGCCATTTATTAAGCAATACCACTACCAGGGAGAGTACTATCATTATTCAGTCATATCTTTCACTTGCAATAGCAAAATTGTATTGCAAAACAAACATATTTGATGTTGCCACATGAGTTTTTACTTTTACATTTTGTAGTAATTAACTCAATACTTGTGTTGTTAACAATTTTTACAGTTAATTATATTAATGTATGTGCTGTAAATATTACTAATTAACAGCAGCAATGGCCACATGCAATCTTAGTATATAGAAAGAGGTGAGCATAAACATTTGCAGAGAATAACTTGTACTATATGAACATGTTTAGGATTGCTGAATTTACATTTTGCTCTCAATATTTTATCATCATTAGCCACATAGGAAATACCAATAATATTAAGCTACAGTATGCATCATGATCTAATTATTTTACATTGGCTAAGGTTTTGGAATGATGCAAATTTTGTAATTTCAACAGTTGTAAAAATGTTGAAATATTTAGTTTGCTAAATTGGGTGGTTTCAATCTTCTTCTGAACACCCAAGAAACTCAGTTTATCAGGTATTACTCAACATGATAATCTACCTATTTGATTGTCCTTAAATTTCATTTGTAGTAAGGACCAAGTCAGGCCTGCATTACATAGTAACATTGATGTGTTTGACCACAATAGCTTTTTAATCAGTATGTACTATATATGTGCTTTTAAAGAGTAAAACATATATTTTACTTTTTCTGGATTTCAGTTTATTTCTTTAGTAATTTACCATGCCAGTTGAATGCTCCCTGCTCCAGGCTTTTCTTTGAATATAATTCATATGCATAAATCTTATCTAGTATCCTAGACTTGATTCAAAGTGTAGTAGTGAAGATAAATAATAGGCATGAACACCTCTTAACACAATAAACATGAGCTTTATAAAACTAGAGCCAGACAGCTTCACTTCTCCAGATCGAAAGGTAAAAAAATACATGTATTTCATCTCAAGCGGTATACTATAGAGCTTAACAGACAATGTTTTCTCAGATATTTACTACAACAACCATAGGTATTAAAGGCTGAAAATACAAATTCCGACTATTAAAGCCGAAATATCTTTTTAAAAGAAAGCGAAGATATAACTACTGAAATTATTTTTACCCTATCATCCAGCCTCTTTAACTTCATTTTGGTGTTTTTTAGTTTTTTGTTTTTCCCTTCAACTGCCAATGACCCCAGACGTTTTTGCCTCATGTATTCGCCGGCTTTAAACCTTTTGTAAGCAGGCGCCTTCGAATATAGCATGATTTTGCGGTTTAAGATGCCGTTATCGAAAAAACAAAAACATACGAATTTAAGTAAAACATAAAACTTTAAAAAAACACTCAATCTAACAGCTGAAAGCCTTTCGATGGGATTCCTATACTAGCTGAAGTTTGAGTATTTTTGCAATTTCCAACGAACAGCGACATTTCGACCAAAAGCCCTGCGCAAGAAGCGAAGCTTGGTGTAAACAGCTTCAGTTTCCATGGCAATTTATATATCAAATTGAAGCTCCTGAATGTCCCTATCTATCCAGCTATTTATATTTATGATCAAGAATATCCACAAATATCTATCTCGCGCAATTTGACGCATTTTTCGAAAACTATTTTCGCTCCCAGCACCCCAAAAACTCACGCGCGGTCAAAAACAAATTGCCACACTTTCTACGGGCGTTTTTCGAACAAAATATGCCAAGCGTGCAAGAAAGTTTAAATGCGAGATTTCCTGTTCATAATTTTTGGTTCATAAACAATTATGTAATAAATTTGAATACGATTTTTACAGCCTGCTGGTTTGCTCTATTACCTTGAAAGCCCTGACGAAGTGAGAAATCTTTGAAAACTTTTTTGCGAGGGCCATTATTTACATAAACCCATTGAGGTGATTCTGACTAACCAATCGTGTTCATGACTAAGTGGTATCAACTGCTTTGGTAACTAAACTCCATCATTCATCCTTAAACTGTGCCAACTGCCCCACTGAGGAAATAATTAAATGGTAATTCATTCAGAAGTGTAAAACCTTTTTGTAAAGAAACAATTTTGTTGGAAAGTTTTTATCTTTCCTTCAGCCACCAGAGACTGAAGAAGATCGTTTATCAATTCGTGACAATGTAAAGCTTGCAGAAGTACGTTTTAAATCAACAATCGTGTTCCAAAATTTCATAATGCATGCTTGCATGTACGTATAAGCCTGTTATTTCACGTGCTATACTTGTGTCTTAGAGCTCTGGAAAAACGAGGGGAACGTTGAGGAATCAACTTGAAGGATATCTCTCGCATTGGAGGACAAAAATAGGATTCAAATCCAGGAAAAATGTGAGAATTTAAATCCAGTTTTTTTATTAAAAGTAAGTGTTCATATTAAGAAAATGGGAAAATGTTCTAGTCGTTTGAAAGATGAAAAAGCAATGATATTTAAGCGGATCTTTTTTACAGATTCAGTCAAGATCTGACAGCGTACAACCTGATTTGGAATTACAAGGTGAGTCTCGAAGTTAAGGTTAGTTTCCGTTGAAAATATAGGAAATGGAAATGTAATGGAGGATTTCCTGTCGCTATGAGTATAACAAGACAAATTCAATAGTCCTGACCTCTTTCTCTAAACTGTTCTCGTAAAAGAGTATCAAACAATTTCTTATGTTTTCAATGTGACAGACGCGAGAGGAACTTCTGGGGCACTCGAATCTGATTTGCACGCATTTGCAATGGAAAAAGATCTGAGTGGAAACTACGTTGTCTTTTGGAATCACCTTTAGTTTGAAGTCCTGTATGAATGTTTAGCTGATGAACTGAAATAGGTTAGTGATAAGCCTAACTGCTCTAGCTTTTTAACAGTTTAACAAACTCAGTAACGTATCTCTGCTATCAGGTGACTATTATTGAGAGTCTTGTTGGAACAAAACGACGAGGAGACGCCGAAAACAAATGTGTGAGTCCACGACATTTATCTATCAGGGTTTGCAAATATTCAAACTACTTTCCATGTGCTTTTCTGTCTGGCTTCCCCTATTCTCTATATTGCTGCACAGTTCACGCAATGTTATTTGTCCTGCAGAATGTAGTAGAGAAGTATAGAATCATGGATGAAACCATTCAAGATTCGATCGACTTTTCTATTTTGTTTTCAGGCTCGAGTTGTCTAACGATCTGTATCACTGATTCCTATTGACAACTAAACCAACTATGAAAGCAATGTGCCTTCAGGTGAGGATGTCGTTTAGCGCGAATGTAGCCATGTGTAGCCTTCGAAGAATGAATTAAACAAATTGGAATATTTCATTCACAGGCGATGACTAAAGTTTATGGAAAATATCACGAAGAGATTGGAGCTTTTAATGACACCAAGCTAAGGATCATCTGCTTTTGATCCAGTGTTACTGCAAGAGCCTGAACTAAACTAACTTTATTCATACTGTTTCGTATTTTTAGCATTTACATGAAAATGGCATCACTAACAGGGATTGGAAGGTAAGCACGCCCTAATTTATCTATCAATACTGTCTTTATATCCTAAACTTTAACGACCATAATTTAACTTTTTCTTCTCTAGCCAGAAAATGTTTTATTGTGTTCCTCGTATGACGAAACGCTTATAAAGGTTTGTGTCGGTTGTGTATTGAACTTGTGTTTAAATTGCCCTTTAAATTGTATTTGAAGAAACCATTCGATGTGACCATTGCCAGCAAATCCTGGAAGTCACTATAATCTCAATTCCGAGTTTTGTCCCTGATTTCGTTTTACGAAAGCAGAGCGCATTCTGCAAACGTTTTAGGTTCAGTTATTTCTCATTGTTACAGTTTCTCAATGATAACAATTAATTTTTTAGATCCGAATTCCTATATGGAAACAATCTGTGGTACACCAAGTTACCTCGCTACCAAAATGTTAATCCCGTAGCCTGAAGAACGATCCTACAAGAAATATATGTTATGTTTGGTATGCCATATACTTCAGTTTACTCAAATTCACGTAGTGAAGACGATTTGTAATGAAGCTGGAGGTAGGTTAACCTCATTTCAAAATTGGAGTACGTCAATGAAAAGTTAACGTCTTTTAGACTTTCCGGATCTTCTTTATTTTCAAAGCAGGCAAATAACCCATTGGAGAAACAAGTCAAAGAAGGGTCGTATAAATTTCCGAACAACCTCTGGAAGAATGTTAGCAGTGAAGCTAAGGATCTTATAACAAAACTGCTTACTGTTGGTCACAGAAAATGCATCACGGTTTCAGAAGCTCTGGAACATCCTTGGATGAAGGTGATGATGAAATTACTAACCGCCTTATAACACCCCGCATCTAAGATTTTTCAAAATCGGCTGACCTTTTTCGTCTGAAGTCCCAGCTTTTTCGAATTGTTAGAATTAGTTTGGTTGAAGTTTAGAACTGATACAGCTATCCAGCATAAATAAAGTCAGTTTAGTTCAGGTTTCCTCCTGTAGTAACACTGGATCAATACGGGATGACCCCTACTGGACCTCCATGAAGGACAATTTAGAACTGATAGAACTATACCGTATAAATAAAATTAGTTCAGTTAGGAGAGAAAGCTTTTAAAAGTGTTAGATTGATCCACGATTTAACAAGGTTTTTGTCTTTTGTAGGATAAAGAAATGATAGAAAAAGCAGAAAAATGATAAAACCGACCGAGGATGGAAGATCAATGTCTCCGCCCTTATAAAAGGTATGTTGAAAACTACGATACTTGTCCCGTTCTTCCGTCCAATGACCCTTATTTTCAACTCGCAATTGCAATGAAACATTACATGTTTGCAAGTTACATCGAAATTTAACCAGCTTTCCGAAACAATCTCAAGGCGCTGTTACACTACGCAACTTTCCTTGCAAATTGCAAAACCATTCTACTCCTGAGGCATCTAAAGTTGTCAAATACGAACATCTATTACGATCTGCTAACGTTTCCTTAGTATTTCGAACACTCTTTACAAATTAACATCCTTCGGAGTTATAATTGCATTGCAAGTTGTAAGGAAAATTGCATATTGTATAGTAGCGCCTTCAGTAAAGTTGAAAACTCACCGTGCAATGAAACATTGCATGTCGGCAAGTTAAAAGGCAGAAAATAACTGTCACCGTACATGGTGAAGACTGGCCGACGGTCACGTTCAGCAGACCAGGCTCTGCGAGCAAATAAAATACTCAGTGGCGTAGCCAGCACGACAATTTAGCAGCATGACTGAAAATGCTTCATGTAAGATCACATCACTAGTTATTCCGATAAATAAAAGAACAGGGGCCGGTTGTTCGAAAGGTGGATAAGTCGCTATCCAACGGATAACTCACTATCCAACGGATAAGTTTTATCCAGCGTGTGATTTGTGTTGCACGAAGCTTGTATAACTTTATCCAAAGGATAAAAATCGCTATCTACCTGATAAATTTATCCAAGGTCCGGAGGTGGTTTAAATCCACTATCCAGTGGATAAATTCAAAGATACAAGGTAACACTGTAAACATTTATATAAAATAGGACAAAAATGCAATATTCCTCTTACTGTGTTTCAACAAACTAATACACATCATGATTGTATTCACTATATATTAAAAATGTTTTCGAAGTGCAATTTGTCGCAGCAGCGTTTCACGTTGCCTACACATTCCGTTCGACCGGCGATTTTTTGGACATCCTCGCATTTATAACAGGTGGTAAATTTACTATACGCTTCTAATCAGTTTATAAACGCGAATATGCAAAGAAAGATTCAACCTATTCCAAGGAAACTTGCTAATATCTAAGTAATTTCATTCACGAACATTAAAATAGTGTTTCTAAATTTGCTATTGGACCGAAAGGCAAAGCGTTGCAAGGTCAAGGAATAAAATTGCAATGTGTTTAATTAATAAAATCACTATGATGTGAAGTGCAAAGTTCGAGCAAATCACTTGTTCAAGCCTTTTCCATTCAGTAACTATACTCGAGAATTCGTAATGATTATGAATTCAATGTTGTAAATGCTTAGCAACAGCTGACGTTGTGGTACGAAATTTCAGAATAATACTGTTTTCTTCTGGTAAATTTTAACTTATCTATTGGGTAGCTATCCACTTCACTATCCACGCTTCCTGCAACGCGTTTTTATCCAATGGATAACTATCCAGATTTATCCGTTGGATAGGACTTATCCGTTGGATAAGTTATCCATCTTTCGAACAACCGGCCCCAGTTCCATACCTATACTTTTGTACGTGTGAAACTTTTCGCTTGATTTTCTTTTAATTGTGAGAATCCGACCGTGCAGCAAACATTGAAATAAAGCGATAACACTAAACTTGATTGTGATAGCCCTGAGTATATACCGCTATAATAGCTTTGTTCCTCATAATGATATGCTGGATTCCTCGTCCAGGTATAACTTCTAAAACACGCCTTATTTTTACTTGTATTCCAATGCACCTAAGTTAGTAAAAAACCTGACAAACCCGCTGGTAGGGTGTAAAGAATTTATTTCTAAATCAAAAACTCGCTCTTACATAAGCCACTTATTGAAAAATTTTCGCTATATATTTCAGTCAGATGGATCTCTCAGTCATTTCTCATTCCTTAGTGAACAAATAGTATTTCAGTGAATTGCTAGAACATACCTGAAAAACAGCTATAAACTTCAATTCTCAAAGATATGTTGCGTACCATGTCTTTGGATGAATGCGGATGTAAAGCGCGGTTACAGTTGGTGGTAGGACATTTTCCACCAGCGAGTCTCTAATGAAATGAATAATTTGTTAAACAATTAATCTTAATCACACATTAAAAGTTATATATGACCGCATGGAAATGATGTGATGCATATAACGTGACAGGGTAATCTGTAGAAGCCTTGCTTATTAATCCAGCTAAACCTGACTAGTCCATTTATTTTGTAATGATCGAATTTTTGCCCGTCGGAACTACAGGACACAGAATAGGTCTTCACCCACTAATTATAATCACGACGACTTTGAGTGAAATCGCTCCGACAAACATCTTTCTTGCCGAATGCATTTGGTCCTGGTTATTTTTCCGTGCAGACCAGGAAGCTGCCTCATTTAAGCGACCATGTCCTGTCGACTTATCCGCATTCCAACACTTGTTGCTATTATCTGGGATGTTATGTGTCTTCAGTACGTGGGCCAATAATTAGTATCAATTATCTTCTGGCACCAAAACACCATCGAACAATCATCAACAAAAATGAAATGATAATGCATATAATTTTGCCATACACGGCTCCTCCAGAATTGAAACCAGTCGAGGTACAGCGTTATTTCCATTGATTTTGTGAAATCTTTACTTGGGGGTTAACATCGAATTTTATCACATTCCCATATAGGGGAATTACTGAATAAAAAAATAATGTCCAACAGTCCTAATATGACATAATAATAAACTGAACATATACCATGTAGCCTGCAATATTTACCTTGCTTGGTATGTCAGTCCATCAAATCCATGTATGGCACAGCGATGGATGGAGGTGTAGTCAGTGATAAGAGAAAGGTAATAATTGTTAGCAACTCCTGGGTTGCCATACTTTATTTGATCTAAAATTGAAACACAAGGAACAAGTAAATTATTATATTATTGTCCAGGGTTGTGAGGCTATCAGCATTGTGATATCCCAGGTTCATGCGTACCGCTACCATGGGACAACATTCCTTAGCGAACAAATAGTATTTCAGTGAATTGCCAGAACATACCTGAAGAACCGCCATAAACTTCAATTCTCAAAGATATTTTGCCGTACCAATTCGACTCTATATGCCATAGAATCTACAATTGAGATTACAAGAACATAACTATCACACAATTGAAACTATAATTGTATATGAATCACAAGGGCCTATACAGTATAGTAACAGCATGTATTTTTGACTTCTATAACACAAGAATATACAGAACAAAATGCAGGTTGTTTTCTTTCATATTCACATAATACCCCCAACCCCTGACAGTTACATATATATTGGTAAATGCAATTACATAATAGGAAAGGGAGAAAAAAAATCTATTTTTTATAACACCAGTGAAATATTGTGTACGCATAATACTTAGCGCTATGACCCATGCTGTCATGCTTCCATCACCAGATATCATGAAATCATCTTGGTTTTTTGTTGAAATTAATCCGTTTAATTTAAAAAGCACAAAAATACCACCAAAATATAGCTCGAAAATTTCTAATCAAGAAATTAATCAATATTGCTGTTAACCTGACACTGCAGTGCAGCTCTAAAAATCATATCAAATTACACAGGATTACAAAATGGAAATATAACTCGCCTTTGGAATTTCGTTATTTTCTTCGTTATTTTTTATCCTGTCGTCTTTTAACCGTTACATATAAACTGTAAAGGCATTAGTTATCTTTTGTGATAGGATTTAAGTCAGGATGGGCAGAAAAACTCGAAAAATATAGATTTTTTTTGTTTGTTATTGTGTATAGCGAGGCGTTGCTCAGCCGCATGCACAAGTGGTTGACGCGTGAGGTTAGAGGTGTCAAAAACGTAATTTGCCTACCCCGTGGGGGTAAAATAAGCCCAGAAATCGATTTCTGGGTAAAATTGTCCCTAGAGGTCATAATTGTCAAATTTTCGCTAATATGGTGATAATTATATGTACATTTTCGGGTTTCCGTTTGTAAACACATTAGTTGGAAATATCACTACAAATCGCCAAAGCAACTGTATTTCGAGTAAAATATATGAAAATATTGATCCCAATGTAAGCTAAAATATTTGGAGGTTTTTAGGCGAGATTTTTGGAAGGCTTTGCGTATTTTTGCTTCTCTAACATTCAATTTAAAAAGTACAAGTTCTGCAATAAATATCTTCGCTTATAGGAAAGCTTTTGAAATGAACTAAAGTTATACAAATAGTAAATGTTTTTTTTAAGATAATACAATTTCTAGTTGAATTGATAAAACACTTCCAGATAAAACCGAAATTATCTGTGTGCGCCGTTTACGACCGGACAGCAATGAGTTTAGTGGTCTCATATTTATTAAAATGGGTGAAGTATTCGCAGAGTAATCACAAGTTTAAATGAGCTTACCACTTTGAAATATCCTCTGATCGGACGTCTAACTGAGAGGATCCCTTAAACATCGAGAATACTTCATTAACAAGTGCCGCATTCTGTCCTGTTTGAGAAGGTGCAAGAACTTCATCTTGGGTATTGGTTACTCTTTGCTCTGTTGGAAGTTCCATTCTGTTGTATGAGGACAACACTTGTAGTTGGTGTGATGAAAGGATGCAGATTGTCCGTTGGATGTTGTGCTTTTGTATTTGAGACGGACCACATTAGATATCAGCGCAAAATTGACACATTCATGGGATTCGAACCCATGAACTCCTAAAAAGGAGTATCCGCAAAATGTGTTCTTTGTGTGGCCAGGAAAAAGAGAGAGCTACAGGGCTTCTCCCAAACCGACTGGCAGACAATACGAAACGTAGAGGACAAGACAGTACAACACACACAACACAAAACACACAACACACACAACAACACACAACCGACGACACAACATCCAACAACCCACAACCCACTAACTCTGTAGCTGAAACGACAAAAAATA